TGTGTCTGTGTCTGTGTCTGTGTCTGTGTCTGTGTTTGTGTCTGTGTCTGTGTCTGTGTCTGTGCGTGTGTCTGTGCGTGTGTCTGTGTCTCTGTGTGTGTGTGTGTGTCTGTGTGTCTGTGTCTGTGTCTGTGTCTGTGTCTGTGTCTGTGTCTGTGTCTGTGTCTGTGTCTGTGTCTGTGTCTGTGTCTGTGTCTGTGTCTGTGTCTGTGTCTGTGTCTGTGTCTGTGTCTGTGTCTGTGTCTGTGTCTGTGTCTGTGTCTGTGTCTGTGTCTGTGTCTGTGTGTGTGTGTGTGTGTGTGTGGCCAGCACATTGTGAGAGGAAATGAGGCCGAGGTGAAGCGTTTGCTGAGCAAGAGTGAGAATGAGGAGGACGGGAGGAAGTTATGTCACCCACTCTGTTCCTGTGACACCTGTGACCGCCACATCTCAGGGTCAGTGCTGAAGAACATCATACATATCATCCACACGATAAATGCAGAGGAGCTTTTGAAGTGATCTGGGTCCCACTTTATATTAGGTGTCTTTAAATACTGTGCGCTTGATAATAAAATAATGAATTGTTAGCTACAATGTACCTATTGTGTTTGTAAAAAATTGCAAAACACTTGCTGCTATTGAGAGCGGATACGATTAAGAGTAGGGACAGGTTTGGTGGTCTTGTTGGGTTTAAGGGGTAGAGGTAGGGTCAACAGTGTAATTATAGATACAGAAATTAATTACAGATGTAATTACAGGACTGTATTTTCAAATATTTATACAATGTAAAAACATGTATGTACACAATAAGTGCATTGTGTCAAATGATTAATTTAGATGTAAGTACATATTAGTAAAGGACATTTAATATAAATTGGGTCCGTGATCTGAAATTTTGCATTAATTACTTTTAGACAGCACTTAGCTGTTCTTCATTCAAGTCATTTTATTAAATAAATAAAAGACTTGAAATTTTATTAAATAAAGATCTAAAGACTTTCATTGGCTCATGCAATGGCTGTATTGTATAATCATTGATTGATTGATTGATTTTTCTTTATTTTATTCTTTATCACAACTTTATGTCTCTTTAACTTTATCAAATTCAGTTTGATACAGTAATAGCAACAGTGTATTGGGCTGATGACCACCGCAAAGTGAACATGTTAGAAAGTATGCAGTTTGAATGTAGGCCTGCTTTTCTCATTAATTATTAAAGTGTTGCTTTGCTTGTCTTTCTTGGCACTTTCTTGGTTTAGGAGGTTAAACGACCCGTCCATAGTGACTCCGTTCTCTCGGGATGACAGAGGCTATACTCCTCTACATGTTGCTGCTGTTTGTGGTGAGCATTGACCTAATTTTGCTTTGTTTTTGTTTGTCTGTTTTGCTTTGTGTTTTGTTTTTGTTTGTTTTTGCTTGTGTGTTTTGTTTGTTTTTATTTGGTTGAGTACGAGTACAAGTACAGGAGCTCAGTATCGGGCCCGATACCGGTGCATCCCTAGTTTTGCTTTACTGTTTTTGTTTGGTTTATGTTTGTTTTGCTTTGTGTGATTTGTTTGGGTTATTTACCTTTTTTGTTTGTTTGTTTATTTGTTTGTTTGTTTGTTTACATATATCTGGTATTTTATAATGTGTTAGATTGTGTTGAATTTTTGTCATTTTTATTTGAAATCTGTAGCTTTCACACCGAGTTGACAAATAAATGTTGTGGCTTGTTTCCCTGTGTTGTGCTTCTGATCAGGTCTGTCCCTGCTGATTGATTTGCTGGTTTCGAAGGGAGCTGTGGTGAACGCCACCGATTATCACGCGCTCACACCGCTGCACCTCTCCTGCCAGAAGGGCTTCCAGGGCGTCACGGTCAGAACTTCACCTTGCTCGTGTTAATGGAGATTCGTAGCTATGATGAACAGAGTTGCAAAACTGTGCGGCTAGTTCCTAGCATCCAACATTAGTTCAGTCTGTGCAAGTTCTTCTCGCATAATGAAAATGAATCTCGTCATGCACATTGTCCCTTGTTTGTTGTTTCGTTGATCTTCCTGTTTGCTCTTATAGCTGCTGCTCTTGCATTATAAGGCAAACACAGATGCTCAGGATAACAATGGAAACACCCCTTTACACCTGGCCTGCATGTACGGACACGAAGATGTAAGGCATTCATTAATTATCTATCTATCTATCTATCTATCTATCTATCTATCTATCTATCTGTCTGTCTGTCTGTCTGTGTCTGTCTG